CTACTCCAGATGAGAATTCAAGAACCAAATGAAAGCGTTTTCAGTTTCGTCGAAGGCGTCCTCTCACTATTCAAACGCGCGGATCCTCAAGAGCCAGGAGCGAAGAAGCTCAACAACATTCTCCTGCGAGGAGGAAAGGAAAGCATCTTCGAGGGCCTCGCGCGAAACCCGCCTGAGATCATCGAGGCATTCCTGACGGAGCCACACACATCGAGTGGGCCTTCCAAGCGCGAGCTGCCCACTACCAGCGACTGCCCAATGACCCTACACCCGTGTGGCCTACAGCCTTGACGCCGGAACTGGCCTCCTCCCGGACATTGAAGAGATGATCCGCGTCGTCATCAGCGAGGAGCTCAGAAGATTGCTGCTTGCTGCCGATCACCCGGCTTCCCTCTTCATCGCCTGAGTAGTATAAAAGGAAGTCTAGCGAGCCGTTCAACTGAATTCTCAGATCAACGCAGTAACATCACTTGAAGAAACGCCGCCAGTGACGTACGCCGAAATTGACAGGAGGCCACCAGTAGTGCCGCGTCAGTATTCGGCGCCGCCTCGACGGGACACCCCGACGCACGCAAACGTTCGACGCCAACACGACCGGGCCCAGTACGCCCACCCGGAACCACTTGCACCGAGAGAGCCCAAGATGTGGCAAAATGCCGACCGTCGGCCGGTATGCTGCCACTGCAGGGAAACTGACCACATCTACCGCCATTGCCCCTACCGACAAGTAGGGCTGCGCGGCTTTCGCTCGAAGGACGCACGCCAACGCTACGCTGAGCGACAGCGGTAAATCGACGAGTACCTTTGGCCGACCTCAGTCTCCCCTGTCTACCCCTCGCGGCGGGTCCCGGTCGCCGTCACCAGGACGCCCAGCGTCGCCAATGCACAGGCCCCACCGCGAGAGCTTCTCGCCCCTCGCCTCTTGTCTGGGGAACCATCGAGTTATTATAATGTACGCTAGAGGTTCAACTGGCGCTAGTGTCTATGCAACTTCCGTGACGCAAACTGAAGCAGACAGACACCAGTCTACTTTTGCGTTGCTCATGTGCATTCCTATGGGAAAACCCGCGTGCATTTTGTCTCTTCGCCGGAAAATAACACGGGAACACTTTGGTTATTTGGGTCGTACCGAATAGTATGTACCTTGATTAACACTGTAAAAGTTCAATTGCTTCAGTTAGCGCATTTTTCTTCATAAGTGAATTAAGTTTAACTTCGCTACATTTCAGTCTCAAACGTGTGTTCCGTAGCAGTTGTGTAAAAACAAGCGACGATTCAAAGAAAAATTACAATCGAAAGGAATATAGAGTGTGGTCAAAGCTCGCCAGCATTCCGGTGACGCTTATATATTGATAATATGCCAGTCCTGTCACTATATCAGAATGACCCCGTCGTGCATGAGCAGATGAAAACATTCAAAACGTAGAGAATAAAGTCCGTGGGCTATGAAAGGTGTCTCTTTGTATTGTTTTCTCTGCCGGGCAGCTTTTATCGGGCACTTGTTCTCAAAGATTTCGAGCGTGCGGGTGATATTTTGAACGTAGAACAAGCAGCTTTGCTCAGAGCAGAAAGAATATAGCGTTATATTACTTATTTAAAATCGGAATAGATTACGTGGCCTTCAATTTATTTTAATCGTACATGCACGTGTAGTTACATGATCCAGTGTTACTGCGTAGTTCTCGCCGTCCCCCTTAATTTCCAAATGTACTTCGTTCATTTGGCACGTATATCCCTAATGCTGAAAAGCGCCGACGTCATGTTCGCGCTAACAGTGTCCGACAGTGCACATAAATGCACTGTCGGAACCGTTTTAATGCGATGAATTCGAAAGAAAAACGCCGTAACTGACTAATTAGTTTGTCTGTCGGACTGAGAAATGTTCCAAGCTACCTAGTACGTACGAATTATCTGGGATATTTGCTCTTATGATCGAGCGCTGAGAGAAAATGCACTCACTTTTTCCCATAGAAATGCATTACCGGAAGTCAATTTCCGACTGGTTGCTGTCCGCTTCAATTTGCGTCAACACACTAGTGCCACTTGAACCTCTAGCGTACATTATATAATAACTCTATGTGGGAAATTAAGCGCGGCAACCCCTGCAGGTAGAGTGGCCGAAGACCAGCGACGCAAGGAGCCTCCACGAACGTTGAAGGGAGACCATTCTAAAAACGCTAGGCAAAGGAACAACGATTCTGGAACGATGCCAAACGATTTCAACGCCATCTTCGGCGATCACGAAAAATCGGTCCTTGTGGAGATCAACGTGGACTACTCCATTTTGCGTGGAAAGCTCTCACGCTGCCTAGGGAAAGTTCCGATGCCGTGGGTTGGCCCGCAAATATGAACCGCCGGAGGACACCTGATCACGCGCGTCGGAAGGTGCACTGCGCGAGTCGAAATCCACGATAAGATGTGCGCCGAGAAATTCATTGTACTATAAGACTGTGCAAGAGACGTCATTCTCGGGATGGACTTTATGCGTGAAGATCGAACCGTTTGACGCTACTATAGCCCGTCCTGGCTCCAGAAGAAGCCAGAACGACGCCAGTCGCTGTCCGAATTATCGCTTACGACATGGACCTGACGCCGCGTTCAAGTGTTTTCGTACCCGTCGTGACCGAAACAACTACCAGCACCGAAGTTTATGTCGAAGGCAACGTTCATTTTCTCCTAAAAAGAGGAACGGCCGTCGCAATTGGCTAACAGAACCACAGAAAGGATGCAAAGCGATCCACGTTACAAACTTCCAAGAGGAGACGTAGCATCTCACTAAAGGCGCATCTTTAGGTCACGTTGAGGAACTCAGTCAAATCGCCGAAGTTATCGCCTTTAATGCAGAAACATATCCATCACGCCAGGACACCAAACCGCTATCGCAAGTCGATAATAACCCGGAGCTCCCCGCTCTCGTATCGCTAACGGCTGAGAGACCTCCTTGCCTACTTTAGTGACTACTTGCCACGTCGTTGAAGGCGTGCCAAACAGCGCTTGCAAGGCCTCGCATCGTTACCAACGATGACACGCTCCCCGTGAATCAACCGCCATGCCGGGTCTCTTTAAAAAATTTAAGACATACAGTAACAAGTTAAGGAATTTCTAAACGACATCTTCATCCAGGCTTCAAGCAGCCCGTGGCCTCTGGAGTTGTACTGGTTAAGAAGAAAGACGGAACACATAAGTCGTGCGTGGACTACCTTCAGCTCAACGCAGTGAAGTGGAAGGATGACCACCCCGTTCCCTGCATCGACGATACACTCGAACGGCTGTGCCACTCCCGGTACGGTTTGTCAATGAACCTAACGAGTGTCTACTAGCACATCGAAGTCGACAAATGGGACTAAAAACGATTGCCGTCGTCACACGTTGCCGATGGAGTGTACGAGTTCAAGGGAAGGCCTTTTGGACTTTGTACAGCATCAGTACAATTTCAGTGTGTCATACATACCGTTCTGGCAGGCATAAAATGGCGGAGTGGTGAAGTTTACCTCGACCACGTCGTGGTATACTCTAGCTGCTTCGACGAGCACTTGACACGTCTACGATCCGTGCCCCAGGCAATCAGGACGACCGGACTCACCCTCAAGCCGACGAACTGTCGGTTCGCCCATTGTGAATGGAAGTTCCCTGGTCATTGTAAGCAACGAAGGTTGCTCACAATGACCTTTACCCTGAGAAGACTGGCGCCGTAAAAGCATTTCCACCCCATTCGACAAAAAGGCAGTAAAGAACTTCTTGGACCTGTGCTATACTGCAAACGCTTTATTCGGGATTTCGCGAAAATTTCTTCGCCGCTGACTCACCTCATGAAGGACGCCGTGAACTTCGAATGGGGCGAAGGAGAACGTCAGGCATTTTAGGAGCTAAAGCGAAGACTCTAGTCGCCCCCGATCCTCTGCCACTTGCGTCAGTCAGTGAAAGCAAAAGTTCACACGGACGGCACCAAACTAGGACACGGCGGGTTACTTCTCCAACGGCAAGAGGGAACCGAGCGAGTGATCGCCTACGCTAGCCGCCCTCTGTTAAAGGCGGAGCGAAATTACTTGACGGCTGAGAAGGAAGGTCTTGCCGTTACCTGGGAAATAACGAAACTCTGCCAGTACTTGTACTAGTACGCGTCCCGAGTGGTCACAGACCGCAACTCGTTGTGTTCGCTCGCCAACATTAAATACCCATTAGGACGCCTCGCTCGATGGAAAATACGGCTGCAGGATTTCGCGGTGACCATAGTCTACAAGTCAGAGGAGAGCACCGTTCGAGTCAGCTCCCACCGGCTCCAACGTCGACGATGACGAGATATTTCTGGGAGCAGTAAACGTCAATGAAATTTTAAAACTTCAGAGACACGATCTTGTACTGAGCGTTCTGGTCAAGCAACTCAGAGTACGAGGGAGCACAGTTCCCAGTATCTTCTGAAAAGCATTGCTAATCTTACCCATTCTACAGGGCGTACTCTACAAAAAGAACTTCGGAGACAGCAACTCCACGTAGTTCTTGGTGATTCCTTTCGGTGTTTGAGAGTATCAATTTTCCAAGCCTGCCATGACAAGCCGACGTCCAGACACCTCGGTTACGGCAGGACTTTTGATTGAATTCGCAAGAAGTGCTACTGGCATAATTGCATAATTTTTCGAACAAAATTCTCCAGTACACAACATTGTATCTTGAGTGCAAACGCCGCAAAAGACCTCTAACAAACTCATCAGGACCCCTGTAACCAAATGCGCCGCCTATAGCTCCTATTCAGCAGATCGGAATGAACATACTAGGACCTTTCCCAGTGTTGGCGTCATTGAACCGCTCCATAATCGAACGCACAGATTACCTGACACGTTATGCCGAGAAAAAAGCTTTTCCCTTTGGCACTGCCGCAAAGGGCGCCAACTGTTTTTTAGAATCCATTGTTCTCTGGCATACTAATGTCAGGGTCAATTTCATAAAGAAGACTGCTTGTTCAAAGTTGTGCACCATTGAAATCACTCTTAGAAGTATCTTACCACTTCCACAGCTCCATTCTCCTCCTTCACCTGAACCGCCGCCATTTTCTCTTTGTCATGGTACAGGTTACGTTCCATATATTTTCCGTTCATCTGAAAAACACCCAACGCGAACTGAATGAGGTATGACAATTTTTTCAGAAACGTTATATTGTAAACAATTCAATTTTTACAAAGACCTATTTTTCCCGAATTTAAAGAATCACTTACGATTCGCGAAATGTAGTTCCCGCGGACAATTCCAGTAAAATGTAGACACATTGGAATCTATTATCAGATTCTACTGCGTCGCGAAAATTAGAACCCGCGAATTATTCCAAAACTTAAGCTTTGACGTAAATCGCGAAATATTGAGCCCGCGAAAAAAAAGTCGTTCGCACTATTTGCTAGTCACAACGAACACAATAGAAATATTTATACTGAGATGCAACAGCTCATTTCTCACATGCCCTTTTTCAAACAACACTTTTCTTATGACTTTATGCAACAATGTCCTGCCCTAGTCTCTTGCTTGACACAGATATGTAGGACGCTACCATCTTTAAAAAATAACAAAACGTAGAACGATTAGCTTCTGTCTGTAGCAAGATTGAATTTGAAAGCCTGCAAGCCAATGCTGGGAACAGCGTGCTAAGAACGCGGGACGGAGCCATTGCGTATCATCGTAGAGCCCCGCGCGGATAACAGTTTGATTCTCCGCATCCGATACGCATCCGCATACTTTGAATCCGTGTCCGAACCGCATCCGCAAAATGTGGAACCAGATCCGACTCGCAATCCAGGCATTCATTGTATATCATAACATCAAGCGAGAATGGGAAAAAAATAAAGATACAAATGACACTTGCTAAGCTGTTTGTTTATCTTTGCACAAAGAAATCTTAGGGTCACCATTCAAATGGGGATGTCATTTTATGATTATCAGTTTCATCGTATTTATATTAAAAGCGACCAGCCTTCCCGAGGCACTGCGCGTCGAACGAAAAATTATCTCAGTTATGTGATCGTCCTAGGAGTCCGCGACATTCTGCCCAGAAAAAGTGCACAGAAAGGATGTCGAGGCACTTCTTTTGTTTTTGGAATCATGAACACTCTACTCTTTGCGAAGAGGGGGACGTTTCTCCTACTTTCTTGTGACTTGTACGTTTAAGGTTTTCATTGTGTGGAGAAAGTTCCCGCTTTTCCCCTGCCAATGTACTATCTTTCTCGGGACGATTGATGCCCTGCAATCTGTACTTTTTCTATAGATCGCATTTTTTACGAAAGGCAGCACTCTAACTGAGGCGATCTTCAGTGAGAATCAGATCTTTCTTAAGATCCCTACTGTTTATTCGAAACGCGTTTTGTGTAAATATGTTTCAGTGACAACTTTTCATGGACATACATTTCATGAACACACGGTTCGTCGACGCTGTACGCTTTGAGGGCACATGCCCCTGCGACGTTTTGTTAACAACGCATTCCTTTACAAAGCCGCTAAAAGCTAGCTCGCGATTCACTAAGGCGAGCTTAACCAAACCATATGCCCCTCCCTCCTGTAAACCAGGCGAGACGCAAAAAGTTTGTTACGATAATATTAGGGTTCTGTGCGACGAAACGTTTCAAGTTTTCCGACTAAACGAACACAAGAAACCTTCCAATCAAACGTCACATGTCGACGAAACGATCTTTAGATGAAACGTCAGTCGAGAAACTGAATGCCACCGGGCAAAAATTTAGATCCGGATCCGCGGTTATCCGCATCTGCAGCACTTGACATTCGCATCCGATCCGCAATCCGCCAAAATGGGTCTAATTTTTATCCGCATCCGCTCGTTTACTGCGGATAGCCGCGGATATCTGCGAGTAATCCGCAGATTAGCAGGGCTCAGTGCGTATGCCGGGCAAAACCGCCACGACACAGACAAAGGAACAAAATATCACACATACTTATTCATTTTAGGTAGGTAACACATATCCGTCATGAACGATCTTAAACTGTTCTGGTGGATATTTCATCTGGGAAATATACCGCCTTTTAGGCGGTCCACGGCTTAAAATAATAAAATTTGGCGTATTTTGTGTTAAAATAGATATGTTTCGGTGACCCTCAGTCATCCTTCATTCCTCAGCTGTAAATAGATGCACAAAATGTAGCTTTCGGTCACGGCACAAATCTTTTACCTCAGGTCCCCTCCCCTCCCCTCCCCCCCCCCCCCCCCCCCAAGCACTGAATTTCTGAAACACACAAAAAATAAAATATTAACGTATATTTACCGCCTCATATACACATGACAATGTTGTTTTTTTTGCTATAATTCATGTTAGAAATTTTTTTTTTTTTAAATTTGTCATGTCATTTCTTCTATTCTGAACAACATCAAATCGGCAACAAAAGGTGCACATTTCTTTATTGAAATACAGTCTGACTGTGTACGCTAAACGTTCAGTTGTCACCCTTCCTGATGTTTATTGATCTCTAAAATTTCGGTTATCATTTATTGAAGACTTCGGAGAAATCTACGCACATAGTAGTGAGCCGAGGAGCTCTGAGAGAAGGTTCTTTTTCATCTGTCGTCTGCTTACCTGATGGCTTGTCTAAGCTGCTTAGATTTACGCGCCTGTTTATTAAAATTAATTAAATATTCGCGCACTATCAGTACGGGAATAAACTAATGGATGAACACGGACGTGAAAAAATTTTAGTGGGGTGTAAATTTCCTCATCCCCGAGGTCAAAAACAACTGGATCACGCAAGACGTGTTCTGTAACTCAACTTGTATTGAGACCCACACATTGAAGTGTTTATAACTTAAATATTGTCGGAAAACTAAGCCCAGAAAAAGCACATGAATGAATATTTCAAAACCACCTGTTTCAATACTTTCGTTACATTAAAGGGAAACTCCGCTTCATTCTCGGTTGTTACCAAACACTGCGACTCTCTTTAGTGTCATCTAGAGAGACCGAATGTTAAATGTTATAACGTAATACCGCCTAAACGATCACTAAACCGGCCGACAAAAAGTGAGACGCGTGAAGTCACCAAAATCCGCTAATTTAGCGGGCGACGTGCGGCGCAGCCAACGTTGTATTTCCGTTGTGGCTGACGTCTGTTGCATACGCAGTTTTTTTCTTGGTATTTTCTTTTCCAGGGAGAGCTTACCGGGCGGCGCTACGGACGCGCTCCATGTTTGAGCAAGCAAAGAGGCGAGCCTACTACAATAGAGATCAGTGGGCGAGACAAACAAAAAAAAAAAAGAACGAGAACAAGAGAAACAAAAAGAGGAAGAGAGAGTTGTACGGGATGAGTTTCGCTGCAGAGCTGGCCAAATTACTCATATTTTGTAATTAAATTACATTACTAATTACTTTGCTGAAAATTGCTGAAATGTAATTAAATTACATTACAAATTATCACAGCCAGAAAGTAATTAATTACCATTACAAATTACTTTTAAAAGTAATGACATTACTTTCGCATTACTTTTGTATACTTTTAAATATAAAGGAGCTATTGATAACTTCCTTTTACAGATAACTTTATTTACATTATTTACACAGTTCATGGCACACAGCTAGAACTCTCTGTTGCATGTTTACCGATGGACAGAGGAACGCACGCGACTGATCCGTTTCCCACCCCAACCCGGACAACTATTTTTGGAGATGACTGAGGACCTTACGCGGATTATCTCTGGGAGGGGGAGAACAATTGTCATTGTTCGCAAAATCGCGTCGAGGGCCGTTCCACCAGGGGCCTTAGTTCGACCTACTTCCCCTCCTTCGTTTCCCGAGAACGTCGAGCAGTAAAGCTCGAATGGCAGGCACTTACCAGCCCTATTTCTCACAGTGGAAGATAACACAGAGAGGGTACGCAGCATGCATCAGAAAAAGTAAGCGGAAACTTTCAAGAGGGGCCAGAAAACGTCGAATGCAAAACCGCAAAACATAGGTAGAGAATCGCGCTGGGCGGGTTTTCACAGTTCAAGAGAGTGGCAGAAAATGTCTAGCTGATAGCGGGCGCGAGAGTCGCACCAGCCGCATTAGCATCAGCAACACATAGCGGCGGTCAAAGAGCGTTTTTTGGAAAGGTGTAGAGGAAAAAGAAAAAGTAAAATAAAAAGAAAAGCGCTCTTATCTATTGCGGACACAAAAATTACGCCTGGTGCGAAAAAGTAATTAGGTAATTTAATTACAATTACCGTCGCTGGAGTAATTCATTACATTAGTAAATTACCTGCTATAAAAAGTAATGAATTACATTGCTAATTACTGGAACAAGTAATTAAATTACTTTAATTTCATTACAGTAATTACATTACTGCCAGCTCTGTTTCGCTGACACACCTGCCAACCGGTGCCAACCGACTAGCCGCCTGGGTTTCCGCCTACATAGCCTGCTTCATTGCTGCTTGCGTTGCCTGTTCGCCGCCGCGGCTAGGCCCGCCCTCCCTCCTCCCTCCTCGCCCTTCCCCTCGCATCCGCGTCTTTCTTGGGTTACCGCTTGTAGATCACGTGACCCCTTGTATTCCACGTGGGTGCGTATGCAACTGACGTTGAGAGTACAATGTTGCCCGGCTGTGCCGAAGTTTCAGTTTCGGTTTCCGATTGTGGTAAATAACAAGATTGGACGAAAAATATTTTGCTTTTAATGAAACAAACGGTCTAGGGTTGTTTTGAAGTACTTTTCACGTTTATATCACCCACTATTTCAAAATTTCCGAAATCAAGCGGAGTTGCCCTTTAAAACAAATTAAGAACACTATGCATTTAAAATATCAGCCAATTCGAATGTCACAACAAAAGACACCAAATTGAATTACGATGGCGTTTTTGATGGGCGTATAATGCTATTCCCCCTTCCGCCAGATACTTATTTACACGAAGATATAAGTTTCGCGAAACACCCTCCACTTGAAACAATTTGCTCGTGCTAAAAAACTGCGGAAAAGATAATATTGCGAATAAAATATTGCTTCTTAATTCAGCATCAATTTAAATTAACACAAACACGCAACCATATTTCTACGAATTTCGTGGAGTTCCTCTACGGTTAATACTTATGTTAAAATCATAATGAGCTATAAATCGAAACGCATGCCTCCCTAAAC